GCACCCCGCCAGGCACCCCCGGCAGCGGCAAACCCCGATCCCTGCAACCGCCAAACCCCGCAACCCCGCTGCCCCGCAGGGTACCCCCGCCACCGCACCACCGGCTCCGCAACCCCGACACAGATGCCCGCCAGCACATCCCCGCCCCCGCGCTGCGGCAACCCCGCTTCCGCCAAGGGATGTCCGCGCCCCCGGGGAGGACCCCGTGTCGGGGCATTTTTTGCAGGACACAAAAAAATGCCAGGGGTTGCACGCCGGCGGTGCGCACCCCCCTCTGTTTTTTTTTTTTTTTTTTTTTGTTTTTTTTTTTTTTTTTTTTCCATAAAGGGGGCCGGGGTCCTGGGTGCCGACCCCCGGAACCCCGGAACCCCGGCGGGGTCCCGGGGCCGGGGGTCGACAACCCTGGTTATACTTATGTGCGGGGTTTTCAGGCTAAGCCATTCAGCTTAGAAACAATGCTCAACCTTAGACCATAAATCCTCCCTCAGAATAAAACAAGAAAACCTCTTTGCATCAGGCAAACCCTCAGAAAAATAAACATTTCAACCAGGCCATTCAGCTTAGAAACAATGTCTGACCCTTCAGAAAACAGTCAAATAAACAAAGACCTGAGCCATTCAGCTTAGAAACAATGCTCAATCCTTGGTTGACCCGGCCAAACGCATGCAGTCTGCCTTCCTCCCATCTTCCCCCAGTTCATCCCCTTAGTCTGCTTTCAGTCAAAGTAAAAATGAAACTTAAGCTTCACCCTCATACCTTATTTCCATTCACTCTGATTATATCTTGAATAGAAAGCAAGAACCATAGGGACAATCTCATGCATACATCAACCAAACTAACGAGGGGTATGCAAACATGGGTAATATGGGGTCATACAGATAGATGGTTGATATACCTGATGGTTCCCTGCCTCCAGAACCTCGCCTAGGTTCCGGCAGAGCTCCCGCAATCGGTGGGTGGACTCCCCACAGAGTCTTGATGCGGTCCTACGGGTTGCAATCCCGCCTGTCGCCTTCCTCTCGTAACTGGATTAGACTTAGAGTAAGAAAGGCAGAATATAGGGGTTTCAGACTCTCGAGATACAAGAAGGGGACAACTCAACTCTCAGAGAGGGCCTTGATACCTTTATTCGCCCGAGGGCCCCGCAATGGTACCCTGAATGCGCAACAGCCTGGTTAAACTGAAGCCAAATCACTAGTCGTCGACCCCCTGATGCCCCTCAAACTCGCCATAATACCCTATAACACTTGCGACTTGAGACACCCTGTCCTCTGCTCATGACATGGGTTGTGAACCACAAATTCAGCCTCCTCTCTCTGCAGCGGATCAGCACACCGGCTAAATAGCTAAGTTTGCGCCCCCACAACTAGCCTCCTAGCATGCGCAGGCTTGGTGAGGTGAGTAGCACATTGATCAACACACACATTTGGAGCCCTCCCAACTGGTCTGCTGTAGCAATTCAGCCAACATATAATCCTTCAAGCTTGTGGCTTGTTTTCTCGCTGCTCCAATCAGCACGGCGGGCAGCGCTGTGGCCAAACCTGTAAGTCTTCAGTCCCACGACTCACCCTCATGCTGCTCTATTAACAACATGAGTGGCGCATTCGCCAACAGGTAGGCCTCCAGACTCTATTGCCCTCCCACACTATCTTCTATTTGGTGCCCAACATTCAAACCACTACTTCAATCTCAGACGGCACTGTCGTCTGACAATAGTGCACATCTCTCGTGCATTTTATTCCAAAGCTGGCTTAAAGCAACTCGGTCCCCATCGGCGCATAGTCGTAGTGCCTAGTAGTAAGTGCAGCACTTCACAGTACTTGCACAGCAGCAGTACTGAGCCAAAACGTAGTGGCAGCGACAACAACTGCCAATACCCACAACTGGAAAGGCCCGCAATGCTGTGCTCGACAGTTGACGGCGGACAACAGCGACTCCCGCCTTGCTCAATGCGCAGACTTCGACCACAGTCATCAACAACATCAACCATAGCGGAGTAATTCCAAACATCTGCAGCTCCCTTACCGCAAGCCCGAAAGGGACTGCGGGGCTAAGAGTTTTTAAAACTCTTAGCCCCGCAGTCCCTTACGGTCGGCCACCCTGTGCCCATAGACCGGTATGGTGAGCGACAATCCAGTCGATCATCCGGCCCGTAGTCTCACAACTGGGCTCAGGCTACTTTGTGGGACACGATCGGCTCTGAGCAACGTACCGGCTGGCTAGTAAACCTCCAGTTTGCAGCTCGTTCGTAGTCTCTGCGTTCAACAGACCGTGGAACACATCTACCGGTCAGTAATTCTTTCGCCCCTGCAGCTGCCTCCCGCTGCCCCACTCCCTCCTGCTAGGACACAGCTATCCGCAGCCTCCTTCGAAGACCACTACAATGTAGCTACCTCCATCAGAACCACCTGATGATGGGCACTGAAAGTATGATGGCGATGGCGGATACTACGAAGAGCCCCTAGGCCAAGCTGGCAACTACGAGGGAGAACGCCCGGCACGGGTGCACTATCCACTGCACAAGTTCGATAAGCATCCGGCCCTTGCCCACGATATGTGCATAGTAAGAATGAACCTTCCCCTAGACTTGGAAAGATTCATCCCTGCCTGTTTTAATTTACAAAGAGCAACAAGCGCAGCCTCTGGTGGTCGCACCAGCCAATCCGCTGTCCGAATGACGAATCCGACACGGCCATGCTATCCGTAGCATAGTAAAACCCCTAATAAGAGTCTCTCCTCGCCTGTATCCATTAACAATCGGGCGAGATATGTCTTTTTCGACACCTCCATATCCGCCTCTCTTCGACTGTTTGTGCGCACCTCGTTTTCGTCAGAGCTCCCATCCTACCAATCTATCCTCAGAACTAATACTACCATCGGATTCGCCCGAGGTCAAAACCCCGGGATCGTATCTTCTCCCCCTCGATTCCGCTCAGGATCGAGGGCACTATATCACTTTAACCGTGCCCGACTCGTCCTTCCGCCATCCCCTCTGTGCATGTACTTGGCGCGGATTCGCACCGGGTTCATCCCCCGCTTTCCCACTCACCTTTCCCCAACTGCGCTCTACTCCGAAGACTCCTCAGCTGCTCCGGCCAGCCCGTCTGCTCGCTCATCTTTACCTGCATGCACCCGGCGTGAAAACACGCCCTCATTCATCCTCTTTGTTAATTCCTCCTCTCTTCCTCCCTTCTAACTCCACCATAGCTCATCGCAGTCCATTTCCTAACTAATTCTCATTCTACACAGCTAACTCCAAATCTAACAATGCTACCGTGTTCGCCCTACCAAAGAACCCCTATCTAAGCTCCTCCGTCGCCCGATGCTATCAGGAATCGTGCGAGTTATCCTCTTTTCGTTGCACCTCGGTCATCTCCCCACCATCTCCCGACGCACCCATCTTCTCACTAACCTCCTATCTTACTAACCCAACTGCCAAACTGACCTCACCAATTGTTTCGCCATGGTCGAAACCCCCCCGGAGTCATCTCTCCTCATCGAGAAACGGGTGAGTTATGTCCTTTTCCGCCCCGCCTACTTCGTTACTCTGCCATACCCGACTTCCTTGCTACCGCGCACGTACCCGCCTCGACTCCCCGTCCAGGTTCGGCCGCCCTCTGCACTGCCCGTTGTCTCTCCGTAGTCCACCTCTCCGAGCGGATCTGGCACGGAAGCGCGCCCCAATTCCTCCCTTCTGCCATTCCCGACTCCCCTCTACCGTTGTCCCTCCGCCTTGCCTCCCTTTGCTTGGCGCTCGTCACCCGCTGCCTCCCCGTAGTGCCTTAGCGCCCATCCGGCTTCAGTCCGACTCTACCACTATGCTAGCGCCCACTACTGCCAGCGCAGCCCAGTTTTCCCCCGTTTGACGAACGATTTGCCCGTCAGTATCACCGCGTGCCTTTACCAGCTTTTCTCTGACCGTGGCGCTCGGTCCTACACCCGAGCGCAAAAATTGTTCAGCAGCACCGACTTCCCCGGGAAACTTTCAAGGGAAAGCCGGTTTTCTGCATGGTTCGAATGACCTTTAGCCCCTGTGTCCCAATCCAACGGACGACCCTCACGGCAGTAGGACTACTGCCCCCACCACCACGTTTGCTTTGCGTCGGGCAGTCGTCCGCCAGCCCATTCGTCACTCCGCCTCTATGCCCAGTTCGTCGTTGCCTGGCAGGCAGCCGCCACAGCCTCACCCATTCCTCTTAGCTCATGCCGATCTCACCGCCACCTCAGACCCTCGACGGCCAAGCTCCCACTCACACAGCTGGCCGCGGAGCTCAGGGTGCGGCCTGCTGCAAGGCCTAGCTTAAAGTGTAGGCCATACTCAAATGAGAACTTCGAAGACCGTAGTGGGGGAAGGGCGTCGTGCGGTTGACCTTTTCAGTCCGCGGCCCGCCTCAATACATGCCCCACGATCTTTCGTGTCTCATCGGGCATGCACACACTCAGCCACCCATTAGCTTGCATGCACGTCCGACTCCCCAGCCCGTACTCCAAAATGGTGGGGCAGAGGAACTTCACCATCATCCCGAATATGCAAGGAACCCCTAGGTCAATCGAAAGAGAGGCGCATGCTCTAGGTCCTCGACCGTCGTGACGACCACTAAACCTGGCGTCGCGTCCAAGTCACAGAAACGACCGACGCATAAAAATAATACGTCGAAAAATAATAAAGAACCTTTGATCGTTAGAATACGACGCATGAGAAGAACGAGAACAATACCACCGTTCTGACGCCGCCAATAACAAGCCAGGCCCTCAATCCCGCGATTCATTCGTGCCGCTTCCACGCTGTCGCCGCTTGGTCTCAATCCCTGAACCTCTCTGATGAAGGTCCAACATTGTAACCAATAATGCTAGGCCCAAGGCTGAGCCTAGTACTAGCGGACACCTATATAAGCGGATATTGCGCGACGCGCGGATCTATCGAGACATTTCCAAGTCGCACTGTTGTCGATGTTTTTTTCTCCGTACGTACGCACAGGCCACAGGCGAGCGCGCCAATCGACGAGACATAATCTTTTTAATCCCTACGTAATCAGAGAAAAATATAAAAAATTCGGTCGGCGATCACGCCGACGCCTCGGTCATCAACAAGTAAAAAATCACACGCGCCTCAAATCCGCGCGCCCACACACTCTCTACTCTAGTCAACCATCCTGTCAAACATCAACCATCAGCCGTGTAAACAATGGACACTGCCGCGACTCGTACGGTATATTCAAACTTCAAACTAAACATATTATCTGTTGTTTGCAAAAACCAGGGCGGATACCCTTGCAAGGGTATTCGCACCGACAACGGGCGTCAGGGATGCAGAGTCGGCGGGTGCCTTTGGTTTCAATGTAGAGAAGGTTGTCGTGGAGGGCGTAGCCGGAGACGGGGTCGAGGTCACTGAGTTTGTTGTAGATGGTGGAGAAGTCGGGGCAAGAGAGATATCCTTGGGTGTAGCGATGGTGGAGCGATGGCAGGAGCTGGATGTGCGTCATGGCGGCGTAGACTTTCTCAGGGGGCTTGTGGTTGGGGCGGCGGGAGAGGGCATCGGCAATGCGGTTGCTCTTGCCAGGGGTGTGACAAATGGTAAAGGTAAATTGGGCAAGGAAGTCTAGTCAGCGGGCTTGGCGAGGTGTGATGCCTTTCTTGGTCAAGACGGAGGAGACGACGGTGTTATCGGTACGGATGGTGAAGTATTGCCCGTCGAGGTACGGGCGCCAGACTTTGAGGGCGTAGACCACGGCGAGGAGCTCCTTCTCGTTGGATGGGTAGTTCATTTCTGCGGGAAGAAGTTTCTTGCTGGCGAATGCGATGGGGTGCTCGCCGGGTGGGCATTGGGAGTGAGTGGGGGAGTCCTTGATGGAGGGGGTTTCCGCGGGGTCGGGGGGAAAGTGTTGGGATAAGACGGTCCCGATGGCAAAGTCGGAGGCATCCGTGGTGACGAAGAAGTGGCGAATGGGGTCGGCGATTTTGAGGACATGGGCAGTGGTGATGAGCTCCTTGAGTTTGTCGAAGGCGGCTTGGTGGCGGTCTGTCCAGGCGAAGGGTTCGGTGGCACGGATGAGCTCATGGAGAGGGTAGGAAACGTCGGAGAAGTTGCGGATGAAGGGGCGGTAGTAGTTGGCGAGTCCCGTCAAGGAGCGAAGTTAGGTTAAAGTGGTGGGAGGGGGGAACTCGACGAGGGCAGAGACCTTTTTGGGGTCCATGCGGATGTCGTCGGTGGAGACAATGTGACCAAGGTATTCTACGCTAGAGGCAGCAAATGTGCATTTGCTGAGCTTGGCGTAGAATTTCTGGTCGCGGAGGATGACGAGAACTTGGCGGAGATGATCAAGGTGGGACTCGAAGGTGGGGCTAAAAACAAGGATGTCGTCGAGGTAGATCACGACACAGACTTCGAGGAGGTCGCAGAAGATGTGGTTCATGGTGGATTGGACTGTGGTGGGGGCGTTGGTGAGACCGAAAGGCATTACGAGAAACTCGTAGTGCCCGAAGCGAGAGCGGAAGGCGGTTTTGTGGGTGTCCTCCTCGCGGATGCGGATCTGGTGGAAGCCACTGCGGAGGTCGATCTTGGTGAAGTATTTGGCTCTACGGAGGCGATCAAGAAGTTCGGATATCCGGGGAAGCAGATACTTGTTCTTGATCGTGATCCGGTTCAAGGCACGGTAGTCCGTGCACATGCGGAGTTCCGAGGTGCCGTTCTTCTTGACGAAGAGACAGTTGGTGCCGAAGGGGGAGGAGCTAGGCTTAATGAATCCTTTTTCAAGGAGTTCACTGAGCTGGCGCTTCATTTCTTCAGCCTCGGGGACGGAGAGCTGGTATGGGGGGCGGCAAAGGGGGGAGTGGCCGGACTCGAGATCGATGGTGTGGGAAACACCTCGGTCGGGAGGTAGTCCGGTGGGCAAGGATTCGGGAAACTCGTCTTTGAATTCGAATAGGAGGGCGGAGATCTGAGGGTCAGAGGGGGGGTCTTGGTCGGGTTTGTCCGTTGGAAGCAAGTCCTCGGGACGGTCGCGGTCAATGACAAGGCAATAGTAGGCGGGGTCGGGGTGCTCACGGGTCATGTGAAAAAATTGGTGAGGAGAGACAGGGGAAGGGGTGGAGGGAGGGAGAAGGTAGGGGATGTCAAGGGGTGGATCGGGAGGGGTGGAGAGGCGGACGAAAGAGGGGTGGAAGGTATAGGGCATGTAGCGGTCGAGCCAAGGAGTCCCGAGTACGATGTCGCACATGAGGTGCATGACATCGAAGGAGACCTGACTACGAAGAGGGCCGACAGTCATTGTGGTCTTGGGGACTGTGCGGTCGACGACGATGGCTGAGTCCTTGTCCCCAAGGCGGATGGTGAGCGGGGAATCATAGCCGGTGGAAGAGAGGCCGGCTTTGCTGACACAGGCATCCGTGATGAAGTTGTCGGTGGCACCAATGTCGAGAAGGGCCCGAAACTTCACCGTCGATGCTCCAAAGGAGACGCCGACGAACTTGAGCTGGAACTGGGCGGTCCCGGCACAAGCGGAGGAGATCATGGCGTTGAGGCGGCGCTGCTCGAGGCCTAATCTAACAAGCCGAGTGTGTCGGTCTTGTTCCTCAACGAGATCGGAGAAAGTGATGGTGGAGGGGTTGGGGAGGAGGGTAGTGGAACATGTGGCCGTGGGGTGCTCAGCCGACGCAATAGAGGACGTTGTCGGGAGGAGGGCAGGCGGAGTAGACTGCGACGCCTGGGGGGTGTCCCGTGTGAGAGTCGTCGCCGACAGACGAATTGTTGATGCCAAGACATGGCTACAAGGGGCTGGGGGACAGTGTTCAAGTGGAGGAGGGCCCAAAGGTCGCGGTGGAGGAGGAGGAAGTGGATGTGGGAGGGCTGGATCTAGTGGGGCGGGAAGGCTGGTGGGTGGAGCGGCCGGCCTTGGGGCAACTGGTTTGCTGATGCCCCAGCTGGCGGCAACGGAAACAACCGCCGTTGGCCTGGAGGAAGGCGCGTTCGGCGGGGGTGAGCTTTTTGAGACGAGGGGGTTGGGGGGAGGAGGAAGGCTGGGAGGCCAGGCGTTGCCGTTCCATCCTCATGAGATGGACAGCTGGGAAGTCTTCCTCGGTGAATTGGGCTGGGTCAAGGGACTCGGGAGAGAAGTCAAAGCTATCGTCGGAGGGGAGTGACGAGTCGTCGGAGGCCATGTTGTGGAAAAACCGGGTGCCGTTGGGGGCGGCTGGTCGTTGAGAGCAGAGGTGAGGAAGGCGATCATGGTGAAGAAGGCGGGTAAGGAGATCGGTGAGAGGGAGCTCGGGCTCATGGGCGAGCGCTGCGGCGAGGTGGGGGAAGCATACCCGCTTGATGCGGGAGATGAAGACGTAGTCGGGAATGATAGTCGACGGGATGTGGAGGCGGAGGGAGCGAACGTAATGGATGAATCGCTCGGTGGGGCCGGTTTGGCGGAGGTTGCAAAATTGATGGATGTAGTCATCGATGATCTTTTGCGGACGGAAGGTGGCGATGAGAAGGTCGGCCCATTGAAGGAAGGTGATGCGGGGAAGGCCGTTGGCTCGGCGGTTGTTGGCTTCTGTTAACCACCATTGAGCGGCGGCGCCTTGGAGGCGGGAGGTTGCGGTGGGGAGCCAATGAGCGAGGGGCATGTTGTGGAGGTCGAAAGCATTTTGGATTTGAGAGAGGAGAAGGAGGACGTCCTCGTGGGGGAGGGCGGAGAACGTCGCGATATCGGTGGCGCGGAAGGAGCGGGGAATGTCCCCGTTGTGGGGGACGATGCAAGCGAGGTTGTTGAAGTTGCGGTCGTCAGGAGAGGTGTTGTAGCAGGTGTGATCCTGACTGTGGTCACCAAGGAGGTAGCAAGGAGGATGTTGGGGTATGGCGGGGTAAACGCCCGAAAGGACTTGGGAGTAAGAGGGGTGAACAGAGGGGATGGTGGAAGTAGTTAGGAGAGGTTGGGTGAGGGGGGAGGAGAGGCGAAGGGGAGTGGTTCGCGTAGTGGTGGAAGCGCTTGTAGTAGGTTGTGAGGAGGGGAGGGAAACGGGATGGGAAGTGACGGGGGTGGAAGAAGGTGTGGTGGAGGACGGTGGGGGGGTGTTGTTGGATGATGAGGCCTGGCCGGCTTGGCCGGCGGAGAGGCTTTGGCCAGATTGGCCGGAGGAGGGGGGTTGGCTATTTTGGCCGGAAGAAGATGGTTGGCTGGTTTGGCCGGCGGGGGTGGATTGGATGGATTGGCCGGAGGAGGAGGGGGGTGGTGACATCGTGACGACGGTGATGGCGGGTGTGTGGTTTTCGAGGGAGGTGACGCGATCGGATATGGAGGTCACGGAAGCCTCGATTCTGCGGAGCGAGGCAGAGAGTGCTTGAAACATGGAGAGGAGAGATGTGTTCTCCCCGGTGCCTGGCTGGTCGACAAGCTCGCGGTCGATATCCTCGACGGAATCCATGCGGAGCGAGCCCATGTTGATGCTTGAGGTGCCTTCGGCCATGGGGAGGGAGGAAGGTGGGGCAGAGGGAGAAGATGGAGTGGAGGGGACAATGGAGGTGACAGCAGCGGCGGAGGCGGCAGCAGCAGCGGCAGCAGTGGCGTCGACGGCGGCGCATTGGGAGGTCTTGGATTGGCGGGGTGGCATGTGGGAGCGGTTTCTAATCCCGATTTAGAAAAATGATGGTTGATTTAAATCGGGGTTAGAGGAAGTTGTCATGAGAGGGGGGGGGGAAGAAAATGAAAATTTGGGGGCAAAGTTTTGGGGACGAAAATTAAAATCAGAACATAAATTCCAAATGGAATAAAATTTTGCGAAGAGAAATTGCAGAAAATTCGGGTTAAAGGAAAAGGGAAAAATTAAATTTTCAAGATAATGAAATTCGAATTTATTCGATTTAATTTTCAAAAAGGGAAAGACTCTTGGAAAGAAAGTCTAAATGACAAAAAAAAAATTCGGGTTATCTTACATGACAAAATACGGAAAATTTAAAATTGGAATAAGTGGGAAAATTCAAAAAACATTCGTATATTTTGGGGATTTATTTTGAATTTTTAACGAATTAAATGATAATTATTAAAATAATTTAAATCAAGATTTTCGAATTACTTTGAAAAAACAAAATAAATGTTGGAAAAGAAAAAGGTTAAATTCGAGAAAAATAAAACGAAATTTGGAAAAGAAATTCGAGAATTTTCAAAACGAAAAGAAAGTTGAATTTGGATTTAAAAGTTGATTTGGTTCTTTTTCGGAGTTTAATTATTTAAGTAATTAAAATGTTTGCAAGAAAAACTTCTTGGAATATCAAAAACGGAACAATTGTTTTTGGGTGGAATAAATGAAATTTCAGGGTATTTCCAAAATTTCGAAATGCAAAATATTCGAAAATTTTTTCGAGATCCAAAAGTATTTCAAAATGGCTAAATTGATTCATTGCAAAATTAATTTTCGAAAGATAAATGACAAGGAAAAGAGAAAATTAACTGCGAAAAAAGAAAAACTTTCGAAAAGAATTAATGTCAAAACGAACTAAAAAAAAAAACAAAAAAAAAAACGGGCAAGTTCTATGATGTTCGATGATTTGTAAGCCTTGTCCTATTGTGCCATGTGTAGCGCGGGTAGAGGAGGGAGCGTGAAGCAGGTGGGGAAAGAAACGCGCGGGGGAGATGGCAGGGGCGTGGGGGAGGGGGGGGAAGGAG